AATAACCCAGAACTTTTCAGTGCACAACTTAAAATTCTTAAACTGGATTTCCTAAAAAGTCTTCTGGAAGTAGGAGGATGTCCAGGCCGACTGTAGGGCAGAGTGTCCTGTGGTCTTGCAATCGGTGAAGCCATGTATTCAGTGTGAATAGTGGAGTAAAGTTCTTCAAACCGTACCGTAGCAGAAAAAGGAGGGAGAATAAGACTTTTCCCACCGCAACACATTTAACTTCAATGTTAACATAAAAATCCTCCAGCTTAGGTTTTTAATATAGCTTTGGTAAAAATTTAAAGATTGTCTTATTTCTTTTGTAGTTGCAAGTAGAAAAGCAATTAAAAAGAAAAACAGTCCAAACAAATTAGGGTTGAATCTTGAGACTACCACAGTGGTTTGCTTACGTAAATGAGGTCAACCCTGAAACCCCCTGAACGTCGCAGTTGTGCGTCACTCGTCCTTTTCGTGATTGGCGTTTCCATTCATGACTCCGTTGGAGTGGTGTGCCCATGTCTGAGCCTGCAGCACTTTCGGCAGCCGCTTTCCCTTGGTGTAGGCGTGGTACCAGAAGTTGAGGAAGAGGAACAGGAAAATCAGGCCGTACAGGCCAATGATGAACACAAAGATGGGAAACTGGTAGGGGCAATCCTTTATAAAGAAGTACTGGGAGATGTGGGTGGTCACCATAACGAACTGGATCTGAGGAGCAACAAAAAAATGATGCGTCAACTTCAGCACAGGATTTTATCAAAACACATAAGAATCTGTCATGTGCTCAAGCACCTAACATACCAGCTGAATGGTTGTGAGGTATTTCTTCCACCACAGGTACTTTTGGTAGCTGGGGCCCAAGGCAGTGAGGCCATAGTACGAGTACATGATAACGTGGACGATACAGTTGAGCAGGGCATGGAAAGTACCCAGACCACCTGAAACAGGAAGTGGATTTAGGAATGAGATTATTAAATATCAAAAGTAAACTCATGAAATGTCAAAACAGCTTGTGTGTACATGTTAGAGTGGGTGGGGGGGAATTCTACCTGCAGCAAAACGAACCCCAAACCACCAGGTGAAGGGCATGATGGAGTGATGGTAGACGTGGAGAAAGGTCACCTGCTTGTTTCTCTTCCTCAGGACAAAGAAAATCTAAAGGGAAAGAAAAAAAGGTTTATTTCTCAGAGTTTAAAAGAACTGAGACAAACAGAAGAATGATCAACTTTTTATTTGCCACTTACTGTGTCCAACATCTCGATGAACTTTGAGAAGTAGTAAAGCCAGCATGTTGCCGCCATCTAGAGGACACAAAGAAAAGTTCAGTGCTGGTCCCAGTGAATACCTTTAAAAATGTATATTTGTTGACAAAGTCAAGTTTAATACATCACAAATGGTGTTTTACCCTCAAGCCCTGCGGCGAATCAGAGAAGTCAATCAAGTCACAGCGGAAAGAATATCCCGTGCCCCACCCTGACATCACAAACTGAGGGAGAGGGGAAAAATGAATGTTATTTTATTGTATTCTTGACTTTTAACACCAAGCCACACAGTGACACCGAATAATATAACAATTAGTTCATTCTACAGGCAAAATAATGAAAAGGTAAGGTAATAAAATGTCAAGAAGTTTACATGTTTGTCACAGAAAATCTGTGAAGCAGTGGAATGCATTGCTGTTTGAAATCACTACAGACTCCAAGTAAAAGAATGGAAAAGATAAAGATGACTCACCTCGTAGCACATGTAGAGCGAGAGCGCGACCACGCTGAAGTTGTAGACAATGAGAACCCCCTTGAGGTCGAAGGCTTTGCGGTTCTCCATAATGCGAGGTCCCAGCGAAATCACAAAGTAAATGTATGCTGCGATGATGATTGTTTGAGGAAGAGGGGACGACATGAGCAACCAGTTCTCGGTGCGAGAGTCTGAAAGAGAAACATGTAGTCACTGTTCGGATAAGGTGCAGCCCATTTAAGCAGAGAAAGGACTGCACAGTGAGCATAGCAGGGTTTTAAGTTACAAACAGGACATAAACCGACTTAAATGGTCAAGGACTCACCTGCGTTTTGGATGAACTCATCGTAAATTAATGCGACAGAGGACTTTATAGTCTCAAATTCCATTTTCAGGAAAGATCCCTGCACCTAAAAAAAAAAAAATCAAATACAAAATCAGTTTGAATAGAGTCAGTGAAGTTGTTACTAAATGTTCATGTTATAAAAGTGGAATGAAATGATTGGGATTGGAAAAAATAAATGAAACTATTCATGATTTTAAAAAAGGGCAACTGGTTTGTCAACTTTACAGGAAGTTAAGTCTCTGCCCGACAAGCGTTGTGTTATTTGTAAAAGTAAACAGCAACCTGAGCAATTCTCTGAAACAGGCAGTGATCCTTTCCTCAAAATACAATTTCGCGTCATTAAAGGATGGATTTTAAAATCCCACAACGACAGAGCAATGCCAGATATAGTTAGGCAACATATACATATTTGTAGTAATACTTTAACACAACATTATACAAGAATAGAGACAGGGACGTACGAGGGGAAAAGGGTGCCCCTCAGTCATTCTTGGCTCCTCTCGAAGTCTCTGAGGGAAGACAAAGCAGAGAGTGTACAGAGTTAACAAAGGGTCGCTCTGTCTCAAGTTATCTGAGAAACAACAGATGAGACCAGAATTCATTCATGAGACATGAACACACGTTAACATAGAAACGATTTGTCCCCAACTTGTTTTTAAACCACGTCACCTTGAATCTATGTTTTACGTAATTCTACAAACATACTGATTGGCCTTTTCAAAGTGGAAATGATTTTCATTAGTGAAGAACGTTGTTGTTTGTTTGCAACCATAAATGTAAATTTTTAATGCACCAGGAATTCCTTGCAAAAGTCACACATGGTGAGTTCATGACCATTTCAAAATTTAGACAATTAATTCTGTTCTGGCTATGACACTTTTTTTGGGGTTTTTTTGTTTGTTTTTGTTTTCAAGAAAACTGCCCATAGATTTGGGGATTCAGCTGCGATATAGTAGCAAAATGGCAGTAGAGGAAAAGAATAAATTATTTTATTTATTTTGAAAATAGATAAATAGTTTGTTAAATTTTAACAAGAAATCATCTTGTAATCTAGGAAACTGTTAATTCCTCACCATTTGCTCATGTTTTACAGACCAAAAACTATTGCTTAATTGAAAAATAATCTAAAATAAAATAGGCTGTCCTACCCAGAAAACTGTTTCCTCATTTCTGGGAGCACAAGGAAGTAAATAAACACTCATCTCGTCTGCCAGGTTTACAAATGCACACAATCCAACATGACAGGATTTTTTTTCAAGGTGTGTCTACCTGAGCAGGTAAAGGCGTTACAAAAAGCCCCTGGTTAAATTGTGATAAAGGCATGGCTGTATGCAGCCTTTCTCCTAATGAGGACATGACAAGTCTCGACACGCTGGTTGACGTTATAGCAGAAAACCTGATGCAGAGGTTGCTACTCCCATGGCACACTCCTGGCATGGTCTGCAGAGTCAACTCCCACAGTGCACCAGGAGCAGGAGTGAAATGTGGTCCTACAGTCTCCATCTCACCAAGGGTACAGTCAAAGTCATTTCACTACTGAGGCAAACTTCACTCAAGTGTAGGAAACAAAACTGGTCAAACACACTGAAAATGATAAAATAATTCTAATATATAATACAATTATACACTAGAATAAAGAAATGTTAATGAGTAAAATAAATAAAGTGATTCAATTAGAACAAAAGTATATACAATTATGACCAAATATGGTTTACAGACATTTTGTTTTTATTTTATTTTAATATTATCAGCAGGCTTGTAAGTGTTTCTCATTACTTTTATTTTTTTGTATTTAATCACCATTTTAGCTTTAAAATCTTTTCTATTGTTTTTCAGTGTCAGCATTATTGATTCATTTTTTCACGTTCGGCCCAATAGTCAACCGTGAACTGCACCAACCTGTCTGAAAGCTGTAGTACAAATAAAGTTTGACTCAGTCAAACAGAAACTATCTCAAACTAATCTTTGAAATCAATGATTGTCTGTCTGAGGAACATCGACCGACGCTAACTGGTGGGTAATCAACTTCAAAATAAGAGTTGATTCCAAGTCTGAGGCCATGTTAGAATGAAACCATCTCTCTGTCCCCACATCATTAGAGGCTCAACGAGGAAACACAAAAGATCCGACCGGTTGTTTCCCGTGTGGGTATCGGTGCCAGGCTCCGTGTGTGTGAGACCTGATGAGGAACAGGTGAACCACAGGAAGAGCCTCAGGAACCACAGGTGTGTGCGTGTGTTGGCGTGTGAGTCCTGTGTGTGATCTTGTTTTCAGAGAAGCAGGGATTTGAACTACCGACCTTCTGTGCTGCTGCAGCCGCGGATCCTCCACCAATCCTTCGTGTTTGCGTCCTCACTGAGAGAAGCTGCTGCTGCTGCTCCACGTGGGTGTGTCTCCTGCTGTCCGCACGCGCCTCCACAGCCTGCTCTTTAAGTGGCCCCGGGGCGTGGTGTGCCGTTATCCGCGCCCACTGACTCACCTGATTGGCCATACGGTGATCCAGCCAGATTACATGTTGTTGTGTGATTTCCTTGAGACTTAATCTTTACAAAAAATGCTTTTTTATGATTCATTCTGTTATTTTCCATAAACTCCCTGAAACTACAGTTCTGATTAAAGATGGGATTCACTTTATGATTAGTTCTGTTATTTTCCATAAACTCTCTAAATATAGTTAAGATAAAAAAAACAATGGGATCAATATCTTTACGATTCATTCTGTTGTTTTCTATAGACTCCCTGAAACTAAAGTTAAGATTAAAGATGTGATCAATATATTTACAAGTAGTGCTGTTGTTTTCCATTAACTCCCCAAAACAGTATATTTGGACCTAATCCTGTTGTGGAGGTTTTCTGGAAGCTGGTGAAAGGAGAACTCAGGCAGCAGCTGTGTTTATGCAGAAGATTTGAATGTAGACTTGATGCATCAAGGAGAGCAGAAGGTGGAACAATAGACAAACATCAACAGAGCAACCTGAGCAACACGAGCAAAAGTCTGAAGATGTCTCCGTGTTAAAATAATATTTCAGCATAAGACATCAAAGGGCTCCTGAACGCTTTCTTCATTGATGAGTTGACCATTGATCAGCAGATTCTCCACAACAATCCCCATATATCTTCCTCTACTGGTGTCACCCATTCTAACAGCACATCCTTAAAAAGACACAATGTACTGTCAGTTGGCCCTTTATCTATAACCTGACTTTGGGTACTGCAGAACTGTTGATTGCAATATATGATCGTCGCACTTGGCTTTAAAACGCTTTTTAAAAACGTTTTGTTTTGTATTGTCTTTTTTTGTATTGTGCACACTAATCCTGAGAAACACACTATTGTTCCACTGTATGTTTTACAGATATTATTATTTTCTATATCTCAGTTGTTATGGAATTTTCAAAGACACTGTCTCTTGTCCTCTGGGGCACGGTGCAACAGGCTGTTGTGTTTGGGAAGTGCGAGAGCTTGGCGAGGGTCAAAGCCTTCACTCTCTATCATCACAGATATGAGACTGCATAAGCAGCACTACTGCCTCCATAACTATAAATACATTTGATTGTTTAGGAACAAGCAGACCCATAGATTAAATGATCTGTTGGGGTTTAAAGTGTGACTGCAGGAAAGCAGACTTCAGAATATGAGAGAGCATCATGCACAGATGTTGTATGGATGAATTCTGATTTTCTTCTTGGCCAAGCTTCAATAAAATTTTCCGCATAAGACGTCAAAGGGCTCCTGAACGCTTTCTTCATTGATGAGTTGATCATTCATCAGCAGATTTTCCACAACATCAGTCAGTCAAAGTAAATAAAAGCAATACTACCTTGCTTTTATTAAAAAACAAGAGACAGAATCTTTTTTACTTCAAGTAATTTTTAACTTCAAGTAATGTGTAAAAAATAGAAAAATATTGTTACAGTATGATGACAGAAGCTATTCATAGTCTTTTCACATACAATATTACAGCATTAATGTGCGAGAAGTAATGGTATTTAAAAAAGAACAATGTTGTAATTGTGTTTGTTTTGGCCAATGTGAAGCCTCATAAAAGTCCAATGTGTTTGCAAGGAAACAAGGTCAATGTGTAAAACTGTGAAGGGGGGTGGTGGGACAGATAAAAGGGGTTTCAGTTTCACTCTCTGCTGCTACTTTCAGTTAGGGCTTAAGGCAGAACAAATGCTAATTTTCCCAGGAATAACAACTAGACAATCTGTGTTTTTGAATTCCTGGTTACTCTCATGTGAGGGACGTGAGCTGTTTCTTCTCAGCTCAGCTGCAGAAAAACTAAAAGTTGGAAAACCTTACAAATCTCTCTATATGAACTCTATAACATCCCTTTAACAAACCTCATTCTAATGTGGAGTGTGAGAGGTGTAAAATTACATTTTAGATGAATTCTTGTCTCAGAATTTGCACAAACGATAGTGGTTATCCCCCATCAATGCAAAAAGCATCACGTTGGCTTGACATTCAAACACAAAGAATAATAAAATGTAAATATTTTAAAAATATTTTAAAAAAGATATAAAATATCAAAATATACAAAAAAAACAAAATGATTCATGACATATGACATGACGTGCATATTTACAGAGCTGGACAATTATTCACACAAATTAGACAGATTTTTAAGGCCTTCATCTCTGCAATAAATGGAACAGTACAAATTTAAAATAAATTGTGAAAGATGTAAACTTGTTTCCATGCTCCATCAACCATGTTTCCACTTTTACTACACAAAACAAAACATCAGCATCAATCTTCATCACTGCTCCATGCATCTTGTAGGGCAGGGTTCACCGTAGATTGGGTAGCAGCTCCCTGTAAAGAATCAAGTCATTCAACTTTTAATCAAATCTGAAATAATAATAGATCAACTACATAACACATGCACACAAATCACAACCTTAAACGGGTACACTCCAGGAAAAATACCAACATGCAAAAAGTTTGCCTGACAAAAAGTTTATCCATGACTGATAACAGCCGATTTAAAACTAGAAAAACCGGAAAAGGAAGGGTGAGAGGAAGCCATTTGTGATTTAATAAGCACTGCTACAATGTAGACATGACAGAGCTGACTACAAGTGACAGGGTTCCTAAGTTGGTAGACGCGTCACAATGTTCTCCGGACACTGACTAAACAGAATAGGAATTCCTCAGATGACACACTGCTTGTGCATAATTTGAATTCTGACACAAAGCTCAAATCAACAAAACGAAAGTTCAATAGATACTGATTGAATATTGAGAATTTCAATAAATTAAGTTCATACTGTGGGTCTTAGAATAGAAAATACACAAATAAAACCTAAATCAAGTGATATCAAATTATCACTGGGTCCCTATATTGTTTCTTGTTGTTTTTTTTGCTTGTACCGTATTTGTAGACTCTGACTCTTCCTCCACATCAGAGGAATGAAGAACAGGAACCCAAGCCAGGAGGTTACAGTCTTTACCTCCACTGTACAGCTCCTACACATGAACAAGGACACATCGGCTCTGAGTTTTGGTTCACACATTTATACGGCCCTTCACTTTTAAACAATGATATTCGTACCAGTGGGAAATCAGCGTTAACAACAGGAGTAAAAATAATTAGTAAGCTCAGGACTGTCTACACGATGTGAATGAGCTCATGTGAAACATTGTCATCGCCACGGGATGGATCAGCCTTTACAACAGAGAAGAGGCTTAAATGAGGACACGTTTCAGGACAGTCCAGAGTGACGAGCTGCTGAACTGCATTCTTACGTCCTTTACACATTCAATACCTATGTATGGCACCGGATGCTGGGATTGCTCAATAACGAGGGTGTGGGGTGAATCTGTCTCTGCATTTGTTATGATTATGAATGACTGGCTGTAAGTTGCCTCATAATTAAGGTGTTTCAGTACACAAGATTACTACGGACACTTGAGTACCAATAGAAC